GCTGCTGCCGATCGGCAATGATTATTCCTCTCTTTGCAATTCGGCATTATTGATGTGTTTTTCGCGTCGTTCTACGCGTTTCATTTGGCCGATCATTTCTGATCAGTCGTACAGCACACCATGTGATGATACGGATTTCAGTTGTTTATGAATATCAAGGACTTCATGATGAAAATGAGCAAATAACTGGATGAACAACAAACACGTTCGACCACTCCAATTCAAAACAGCATATCTTTTGATGACATGATTTCTGTAATGACCGGAGGTAAATCGTAATTAAGTATGAAATGAAATGACATTAAAACTCCAGTACTGGGAAATATCACACAAGAAATAGTGACTAAAATGATCACACCCTATACACCAAATAGTCATCATGAGCTACGAAAAACTAGCAGACAACCAGTTGAACCGCTCTATGTATGTGATCTTTTTCCTTTCCTTTGGTCGCCGTATACTGTTTGTAAAAATTCCACACACACATACACACACACACATACGGACCATCTGCATCGGTGCCATTAATTGTGCCGCAAACGGAACCATTTTACACATGTGAAACAAAGTAGTGAGTGCAGGTGGTCTGATGATGTTTCAAGTGTCTGTGGAGGCGGTGTTCTACACGGAGTCATAGCGCTCAGTGTGGGGAACAATCAAAATACCTACGAATACACGTACAACGTGCAAGTACACTTTTCCGAATCACCTACTGCAGAGTTCTCATATACGCCACCAGGCGATTATAGACGAGCAGCAATCTTCGTTCCAGCGTTGCATCCTAAAAGTAGGTCAACTGCATCATCACCGATAAAAATGTATGCACATCCTCATCATCACACAGTGGGACTACAGTGAAGCAAATTTCATTGATAACTACCACACTCACAATGTCTATAAGATCAGTTATAATAAGCAAGGTAGTGAGAGATTGAGTGTATTTTCGGGGAAAGCAAAATAAAGTGAACCACTATGGTTAACACACAGAGTACATGGTTCAACTGTGCATGCACACCATTTCAAGCATTCTGACCTGATAAGAAATGACAATAAGAACGCCACTGCCGTCGGTTCGCAGCCATATCATTCAATATCTCCAATCAATCAGTTCCAGTCCTCTGAGCCTTAAACTGCAAGAAAGGATATACCTATTCTACAAAATCACCCTGTGCATTTCTTCAGGTTTCGTCTCCACATCATTCGTTGAACTCCGGATGATAGTTTCCAGCCTGGAGCGGAAATTGCAAATAAGGCGCGATGCGGTGGACGACAACTAGGTATGCCCAAAATGCGTGTTGACCACGGAAGCCTCTTGAGCTGAATTCGAAACCGCCGGGAATTTTTCCTCGTTGCTTTCCGAAACACACGACGACTGAACTTTATATTACAAAACCGCTTACCCTGTTCAACCTGGGCCAGATTACGTAAGCATCTATTGTCGAAAACCACTAGGCGATGGATATATTCTCCTAGCAAATTCAAGGTCACGACCGTTGAGCAAAACTGACCGAACGGTGGCGCAGTACATGTGACATTCGAAATTGAATGAACCGCCACGACGTCACCACAGATTCTTCAGTACACTGCTCAAGTCTAGGAAAAGTGTACCGATATTTCCTTTACCAAATTACCATCTTTGATCACGAAACTATCTAAGTGCAAGGATTAGTAAACTTCATTTAGTTTTAGAACAGGACTAGTTCACACCCGATCTCGTACCATTATTTTGCAATTTGAATGTTCAATCCTTATACTTAAGACACTTGCAGAATTAGTCAATATATCAAGAACGCTTTGCGCATCCTCTATACATCCGAACACCCACGAAGCCCTCGGTGTGCTCCAAATTGCACAGTTTTTCTCCAGCTTCCCATTCAATACCAACATTTTGGAGACCACTTAGAGAGATGAAATTGAACAAGAATTTAAAAAATTGGTACTCGTAACGAATACCGTTGCTGGTTTCAAAAGATTTGCTTAGCTGATCGTGAACTCCCATCCCATCAGAGTATAATGAACTCAATATATGCATGCTTTAGCAGCATCGCTTTTGAAAAAGGGAACCTTCACCTGAGTCCAAAGCTACCTTTCACGTTAAAGGACACTGCGGCCGTTGATTGGTGATGCACATGACGAATCTGTTAGACTTGACGCAACTTAAATATTTATTCGATACAACCACGACAAGATCGAAAGCCTGTTTACTGTTCTCAGATATTAGTCTCTAGTAAATGTGCCAGACGTTGAACTATGACAGAGGCTAATACTGTGGTGACGATTGGGTTCAAACTGATCCCGTACAAAGTACGATTGATTCGGTGTTCATATTTCAGTTTTTCGGGTACTTGGATTCGTAGTGAAAACGTGACACAAGGTAGAACATGGAGGAATCAAACAAAAGTAATTTCAGACTGCTATTATCATCTCGTTGATAGCAAAATAGTTGACAAATGTTCAATATAAAGAGTTGGCTTTTATTTAACCTATTGTCTGTTTTGTTTTAAGAAATACAAAATGTCTACGGAGATCTATACTAACCGGGTAAACTTACGCATCATAATCCCATCGACAGCCATCCAGGAACAGTCCATTCACATAGGCACCCTCGTTAGGAGGAGTAGCTTCATTTTGTGTTGGAAGCACCTGGAAAAAATCAATTCCAAAATTTTTCTAATCATTGGTGGAGATTGACTAAAGCCATAATTATGAAGCTTTATCTGCCCAGCTATCCATAAACGTTTATGAGTTACTTTGGCGACTATTTATCTCGTGAGACACTTTGTCCTGGCAATTCACCTAGATTACAAGCATCAGCATATTGAGTACGGTACTTGAGGATAGAGTAATCATCGCTAAATTGAGTACTTGTTTAATTATCTCATCAGAATTGGTGGGATGGTTTATCCGGGTTTCCAACTCTTACAATTGCCAAACTCAAGAGATCTGCAATGAGTAGCAATCAAGAATACCGAATAATAATCATCAGGTGCAATGTAATGTAGTCCCTAATACGCGACTGAGACTTCGCGTTGAGTTTATCCGAATAACTACCAGCTCAAAAGAAACTCAATTCGTCGTCCGAAAATTCCACTATTTTGTGAAAAATTGACCGCGGGAGAAAGAGGTCGAATATCCTTCGTCCTGGTTCATCACTGGTAACCAAGGAAGTTATAGTTCGATACAAACTGGACGATCCGTGCGTGCCCGGGTTCGGATATGTAAGGCGAGTCAATCAAGGCGGTAATCAACCCGACTGTTACACATGCAGTACCAGGAGAGAGACTGACTTGTATGCCGTCAGCTGATACATGTCAAACGATTCACCCAGGTTGAGAAATTTTCTCGCTTGAATATTGAAGGACGGACACTAAGTTTCAGCGTACCGTGCCACAACTCTGGTTAATATCCCTCGGTTAAACTCATAACAAAAGACCTACAAACGAAAATTGCAGTATCGAGATATGATAGAGAAACAGAGGCACTTGACATTCGCATCGCACCTTGCGTGACGTAAATGAAATGTTAGGAAAAAATATTTAATTGATTGGATAAACTGAAAATGAAATTTATTACAGCCGCAAATCCGAAAACTGTACAAAAGGAAGTGTTTCATGGGAAAATAACTGGTTCTACAGCTCATTTTTGAATATATATTTGAATGATCTCCTTAGTCTGCCTCCCACAATGTACTTTCGAACTACGCCAGTGAATACAGTGAGTTGTATCTGAAAAACGTCATCAAATTTATCCGGAATATATGATTATCTAACTCACTATCTTTGCGGTTCATGAAAATAAACCTTTCTGATGTGTTGCTCATCTACTGAAATACATCCACGGATCGGTAAACGTAGCAGTACCAGTTTCGAGAAAATGCTATTTTGTGAAAAGTAAGTCTATGTTTCCTACTTTTGCTATATAATTCGGTTATGCACTGCGGGAGACCGATTTCAGAGGTACATATTCTGTGGCCAAGGAGGGACATAAATCACCTTTCCTCTCTGGGCGTTTATTGGTCATCTTTTTGATTGATTGATTTTCACATTACTTCGTTTATTGGATATATAAAGATACAACTTTTAGGAAGGGGGAAGCGGCCAATCAAAGGGCTGCCATTCAACCCACAATGGGGAGTCAGGCAGTGTTGGTGGGATTCGAACACCTATCCCCGGGGTGNCAAGTAATACCCTGCTCGTTACACCTCTCAAATTAGAATATCAGCACCGGTCAATCCTACATAAGTCACAATGTAACTGATGAACATATTTGGGTCATATGAAGAACAAAAAAGGAAAGAATCAATAACGCTCGATTGGTAGAGCAGTTAATTTGTGTACCATCACTCAGAATGA